GAAGGTCTAGTCAGAGACATATTAGAGGCATAAACGGAAGTTAGGAGGGGTAGAGGTACACCTACATTAGATTACACTTCTCAAATAGTTAAGGATGTGGGTTGTTTTAGTTTTAGGGAAATGGGAAGATTAGCTCAGGATATGAAAGAGTGGAGATGCGTATCCAACCAGTCTTAGGACTGACAACCTTATGTTGATAATTAAGATTTTAAACTGGTTTTGGTTTGGATTTTATGAATTTCATACTAAAAATGATCTGATATTCACAATAGCCCTACTTTTCGTGATAATTTAGGTATATGGAATGGAAGGTAGAGAACATGTGAATGGAATGGATAATTCATACAGACGCTTATCTGGAAGCCCATACAGGCACCTTTGGGTCTGTTTACCTGTACAATAGATTACGGAAGGTATAAGGTATGGATATGGAATGGAAGTGGAATATACAGTGGGAATCGACCTTTATTTGGCTCTGCTCTTCGTTTGTTGTTTCTTTAATTTCCAAGAACTTTGAAATTAATTTTGACCATTTTCTATTCTTCGTCACGTGTCCAACCTCAATTTGCATTAAACATTTGTTATTAAATCTGAAACATATTCACGTGGTGTGCTGAGGAGAACTAATAAATTCTAATAATTCGCTATCTACGTCGGGTAATTTTCATCAAACAGAAAACGTCAGTAAGGAATATATTAAATTTTGTTATTCCTTCCAAATTGTAGATACGTGAGAAGCAAGCAATGGTAAGTATTATTAGTCGAGTAGAGGTTAGAAACACGGATTTCCGTTACAACTTTACTTGGAGTGTGTTTATAGGGAATATAGGAAATAAGCAATTTTTTTCCTTAGGAGTCACGGAAGCGCGTTGTGGTAAAGACTGTTGCATGAGTTGGTGGAGTTCGCGTGCGCCTGGATAAATTTTGTGGTCGAACAGTGTGCAACCAGTTATAAATAATATTCACCGTGTCGTGCGATTAACACGTCTAAAATTTGCTCGAGAAAGTCTAAGAAGCACGAAGTGCATTATCTAAGTATAATTAGTCGACTATTTTCAGCGAGACTGTTTATTAAAATATTGCCCGACCTACATTCAAAAATAAATGGTCGATCTAATCGAATAAGGAAAATTTGTACTCTTGTCCCAGCCCATCGACCTTGCCCAAACCTATTAGAACAATCGTTTTATTTATAAACGCTTCCTTCTACGAGGAGACATCAAGAAACTTTCAGCCACATTTGCATTCGTGCAAAAGTTGCTCACATTGACCATTGAATTTATTGGAGGCTTAAAAGGAGATAATGAGACTATCAATGAATACCAGAACTGTGGAGATAATATTTGAAGTGAAGATCATCATCATAAGGTCGTCAGTCCTAAGATTGGTTGGACACGCACCTCCACTCTTTCCTATCCTGAGCTAATCTTCGCATTAACTAGAACAAACTTATATACTTAAGTATTTACGAACAGTAATCTAATCTAGGTCTGCCTCTACCCCTCCTAACTTCCGTTTCTGCCACTAATATGTCTTTGACTAGATCTTCATGCCTGAGAAGATGCCCCACTAACCTATCTCAACTATTTCTTATTGTCTCCCGTAGAGTCCTCGGTTCTCCTATTCTTTCTAATACCTCTTCGTTTCTAACCTTCTCTACCCACGGTATCCTCATCATTCCCCTGTAATACCAGATTTCGAACGCTTCTAACCTTTTCTTTTCCGCCGCGCTCACTGTCCATGTTTCGCACCTGTACAACGCCGTTCTCCAAACGTATACCTTTAACAACCTCTCTTTATTGAGAGCGACCCCACCCTGCGCTATCCATTGCTTTATATCCCTACTACTCCGTCCGTCCTGACTTATCTGACTTCCTAGATACCTAAAATCGGCCACTTCTTCTAATTTTTCGTCTCCTATCTTTATATTCGCTCTTTCCCTACTTTTTCTTCCCTTGCATACCAGTATTTTTATTTTACTTTTATTTATTTTCATACTGTTTTAAAATTAAGAAAACGCAAAAGAACTGCTCCAAAAAAAATTAACTAAGGATAAGGAAGAGTGGAGGTGCGTGTCTAACCAGTCTTACTACTGACTACCTTATGATGATGAAAAGATACCTAATGTCCTTTTCCGTACCCCACACAATGTGTACTAATTTTTGGTGATAATCGATTGAGTAGATAAGGCGTGAAAATGCAGCAAACAACAAACAAACTCACATTCGCATTTATAATACGCATTAGTTTGGATTAACACGTTAGAGACAAAATGTTAACTAATAAATGCTGAAACACGTAAAATATAATACTCCTGAATTTACGCGCCTGTTTCTATAACAACGAAAAAGAGAAAAACAAAACAATAGTTAGCAAAGAAGAAAACCGGAAAGTTCGGCTTTGATTACTTCAATCGCATAAACGAACAAAAGAGCGCTGAAAAAGTAGGTATGTAGAATTTTTTCAATTTCGGCTTGATCGGTTTTATTTCCAATCAAATCAGGATACACGTGTAGATACAGAAAGCAGTAATAAAAAGTTGAACGGAAAATGGCAACGACAGGAATAATGAAAAGCTGAAACTCCAAAAATGTTATTTACAAATCTGCTACGCAGATATGTGAACGCGCTTTTGTATATTCAAACCAATTTACTTAGGATTAATTTAAATCAGAGAATGGAGAATAATAAATGAAAGTTTCTTATGTATCTACATAAAATCGTTGAACTATTCCTAATAAGTTGGTCATTTTTCATTACTATTTCTTTTTTTTTGTTAAGATTATTCTTGAGGAGGGAAAATTTCCAAGAGACAACTCCAGAAAGGAGGTAGTGCCCGATTTTTGTCGATTAAAACCCCCCCTCGAGTAGGGAGATCAACCCTAAAGTTATACATCACCGGAAAGGAAATAGATATGTTGAGAGTGGGAAGAAAATTGAGTTGAGTGGTGGTAGGAGACGGTAGTCTTGGGGTAGAAAACGTCGAAAATAGGTGGCCCACTTCCGGTATGATGGATAGACACTCGCGCTATTTTTACTATTTCTAATGACCTTTCATTATAAATGTTGATTAAAACAATCATTTTCAAAAAGCTTTACGGCAATTTCCAAAATATACGTTTATTAGTGTTCAGCAACTCTTGAAGAAGCTACAACGTGATTAAACAATATTATATGAAAATTAATAAAAGTAAAACAAAAATACTGGTATGCAAGGGAAGAAAAAATAGGGAAAGAGCGAATCGAAAGATAGAAGATGAATGATTAGAAGAAGTGGCTGATTTTAGGTATCTAGGAAGTCAGATAAGCCAGGACGGAAGGAGTAGTAGCGATATAAAGCACAGGATAGCACAATAAAGAAAAAGAGAAACAGGAGTAAAAAATAAGGGCGAATTATTTGATTACTGATCGCAAATTTCAAAGAGCCCCGAATTTTTAGTTTGGCTTTTTTTAAAATTTGTATCGGATAAAAAAGTGCTAATTAAATAAAATACTACTTTCATTATTTTTTATATTGTTACTATGTTACAAAATATGGTAGTATGCTAAACAAAACTGAAATTATATCAAAAAATCAATGATCTTTGACCTTACATTATTTTCATTTTCTAGAATGTTTAGTCCAACACCTAGTAGTTTTTAGTTTAAGAGTTGACTCTAATTTTTAATAAGTTGTTTGCCTTCTTAGTTTGTCCTTTATTAAGTTCACAGAAAAGATCCAAAGATCGTTATTGCACTCAAAGCATTCCGAAATACTATTCGAGGTATCGAAACTTAGTTTCTCAGGCTTAAGCATCCCTTTTAGAGCTGTCCACTACTGCTGCAATATCAAAAGACATTTCTGCCTTTTTAGCTCTTCTAAGCTATAGTTTCGACTTCCGCAAATCTTTGCTTTTTAAATCTAGTAATTGAATTACAAATGAACCAGCATTGATATTAAATGAAGTAAAATTTAGTTGTTTGTTTAATTTGAGAGTATTTGCAATGAAAGCCAAGGTAAGCTTATTTATTTTGAACTGATCAAATCGTTCGGGAAAGCCATCCACCATTGTTTTGATCGTTCTTGTGAAGTAACCATTACAGTCAATAGAAACATTGTTTCCATTCTAATAGTTCCTTATGGTATGGAAATAAAATAAAATGCCCAATCCCACATCTTCTGTCAAAAGAAGCATTTTACTTTCAAAACCAACTACTTCTTCCAATAACGAAAATGCAGTGTTTCCTATTCCTTGAAGCTTTAGATTTAGTTCGTTGATATGCATTATAACGTTGGTCATAAAGAGCAAGTCTGTTGTTTAGCTTTTGATTTTTTTAAGGAAACTTGAAGAGCCGCAACTGGTCTAGGCAGTCTTCAGGTGTGTCGTTAATATATTGTGGTAAAAACTAACATTGATTTTTGTTTATAATGTGGGGTATAAGTTTCTAACAAATAAGTCTATGTATAGACACGGTTAATCAAAACAGACGTGTTTTCGGTTTAGGAATATCGCATATTTACCTACCGATTGAGGTAATCAACATTAACTTTTGTTAGGTAGCGCCTTCCTCTCCCCCTTTGGCACGTGATGACCTTCAAATGGTGACCTAGAAATGTTTCCGCTAAATTGAGCCCATTTCTCTTGAACAACATCTATAAACTGCAATTACAACTTCAAAGGAGCCCGTTGGCTGTTCGGTTTGTTTCTAAATAATGTTTCGAACAAAACAACTTTCAATTTTCTATTTATAGGATGTCGAGCGCGGTGCTTAATCCCGAGGAAATTTATTTAAAACTCGGCAAGGGCCTTAATTTTTTTAAAGTCGAAACGCCATAATCAATTAATAACGTTAAAAAAGCATTAGACTGGATTAGATTAGCCTGACCGGCCGTAATTTTTTTGGAGGCATCCCAAAGACAAACGCCGGTCCCCTAGGCAAATTTATATATATACATACATACATCTACAACCACTAAAATAGTTAACTCACTCGTTTTAAAATAGATCGCAAGCCGAATCCAAGTATTTTAGATTCCAGTCAAGTCTTGAGGTGGAATCAGTTAGTTTCGATTTTGCGGTGTTACAGAATACTTCGCGAGTACTACCAGAATGAGCGGTCCCTTCAAAAGAAGACCTTCCCTTAAAAAGCCACCCTCCATCGGACTGGTCAAGTCCCCGTCCAGGAGACGATCATCAGCTGCTTTGTTACAACCAATTCCACAAAGCCAGCAAGAAGTACCATGGGATCTCTTAGACCGAGTCTTGCCGCTTTTGTTTTTCTGCCATGGGACTGCCTTAATTCTTAGCAACATCCTGAACCTTCTAAGGATATCGCAGGTCACTACGTTCACTTTGTTTATATGGTTTACGATAGTTACGTTGGGAGCTGTCCTCTTTTATCATAATCTTAAGGTAATTTAATCTTCAGTAGCTTTTAATAGCTCATTAACAACCCTATTACGGTTGACCACCTCATTAATTAACTCTGTTACTTTTCATAATTATAATCGTCTACAAATGTGCTTTAATTTATTTTCTATCTAGTGCTAGCGCAAAAACAATTTCTGGAAAATGCATATATACATTCATTAAGTTTTACTTTTATTACCAACATAAGTTTTATAGCCCATTAAACAACGGTGTTACAAGATACTTTTATTACACTTCATACGCAGGTGTAAATGTTTCTAGTCAAAATTTATTCACTGACTTTTTAACATTACGTGAACACGAGATATTATAATCAGTATGTATAAAGTAGGGATATTATCAGCAATTGAATTACGAATTTATAATAACAATAATCACAATAACAAATAGATATTTTTGTCGATTATTCTTTAAGCCGCCATGACACGCTTAAGATATTGTAGCATCAGAACACGCCTCTTGCACCGATATCGGAAAACAACTCCCTAAAATGTTACTGGTGTAGTAAATAATCCTATATGGGTAAAAATATATTAAAAATAACGAATACAGTGTTTATATTAAAAGAAATTTGAAAGCATCAAAAAGTTGCACCTAGTTAAACCTAAACAATTGAACAGCCGAACCTAACCCCAGAGGATATTATATCTAACGTACTTATGACGGGGAATCACCGATATGCGCGCCATAGAGGGTTAAAAATCACATGGTACCAGCAGATTAAAAAAAAATATATATATATAAAAGTAAAATCGTTTGGAAGAATTATTATTGTTAGAATGAACGTAATAAACTAAATAAAGGTCAATTGTTGAAGACGCTACCCCTACATTAAGGTCATTGTATGAAAATTGGAACAACTTTGCAATTGTAACCTAGAATTCTAAATAGCAGTAAATGAAAACTGATGCCTTTATGTCAAAATGATTGTGGTGTTAACGCTAATAAATCTATTTCAGAAGGAATTTTGTTTCATAAAATTGAATGTTTACAGGATGAGTTGTGAGATAGCATTCGCGTTTTTTTAACTTTTGACATTGTGCCAATACATTTCGAGCACAGCAAACGGTACAACATTTGATATTATGTATAGGAATCCTCTACTTGTAACAATCACTTACATACCTTATTTTTACGTGTTCGAATATTTTAAGAAAACGGAATTTACTTCAGTTTAAAGTTTCAATCTTCAATACGTAATTTATTGGATTACATAAAGATTCTTAAATAGAAATCTGTCTATTTCGAAAAGCTAATGAATGAACTCGTTGAATGCTAAAAGTAGAAACTACGAAATGCATATTTACATATTTTGATCATTTATTAACAAGCTTATAGCTCAACACAGTTCATTTAAAAAAAATTATAGATGAAGCGTTTCTTAGACTTTTAACGTCTGTACGTTAGCCTAAACAGTGACAAGCGGTACGTATTTAAGACAGATTACTATCGCCATCGTTAGAGATTCAACGTTTTTACGTCTAGGCATGGTAATAATCTTTATATTTATGTTGTATTACATTAGAATAGACAAAAAGTGAAATGATAAGCCAACTGACCAAGGCGCTAGATTATACATATGGAACTGACAACTTATGTGGGTATTTCGGTAGATATTTAGTTCGCTAAAAATAAGTTCAGGTGTATAAAATATTTTCTTTAATTTTATAAATCTTACTTCTAAAATAATAAAATAAAAAACCCTTGGAGTTTACAAATAATTTATTATAACCACTATAATTATTTCGACACACTGTGCCTTCTTTAGGTGGTGAAGATACATATCTATAGTTACATCACTTGAAAGCTTCATCGATTCAATTTTCAAGCTTACCTCTAATACGAATTATATGATATACATTTTAATCAGATAACTGATTACAAGGGCCATAGACGTAAAAGGTAATAAGCAATTCTAGCCAACAACAAAAACTTGATGACTTTTCTTTATGTTTCACAATAACATGCCTCCCATATCAGTGACACTTTTATTGTCTGAGAACGAGGTACAAAAATGAAATTAACGATAGAGAATACGATATATGTACTGGAATTTCTCAATAATTACCTTTCAGGTAGGTACCTATTCATTAGGTACTACAATAGATACAATCTTTTGTGTATTTAATATATTCGAGATAAAAATGTGTTTAAACCGAGTTTTATTTTCAGAAAAGTTTATTTTAATGTAAAGTGATGATAAATAGTCGGAATTTTTGTAAATGTAGAAATGACAAGTCGTGCTTCGAAACACGTACCTACCAAGCTGCCCAGAATGATGTAAATAATTTGGCAATCATTTCTTTTTTTTTTAAGTCACGTAGCATAAAATTAATGATCACCTTTATCGATTACCCGAGGTTTCTGAATTTATATGGCCTACTTCAATCTTCCTCGTTTTAAAATCTGGACCTGATCATATATTACGAAGAAAAAGCTTAATACTAATAAAGCTCTGAAAGACTTCATTCTCTAGATGCGCTTCTTTCCTTTAACGATCTAATAATAATTAAAAAGCCATCATTTCACTAGAGTGAATCCTATCAGTTAGGTCTTGAGCCCAAAATAGCATTTTCCTTCACAGTTGAATATGAAGACAACACAGCTGCTATCCGGAGCATTTAATAAAATACGGAGTATACATTAGCTTTCTAGTAAAATAAAAGTGATTTGTCAATTGCGATTTTATATCAGGTTTTGTTTCGTCTTTGTAGCCCATTCTGAACTCGAAATGAAAATATTATACTAAAGCTTAATCGACTATTTTCCATAATAACTCATGATTTGTAGTTCCTTTGCACCCGAGACTTATAGGTCAGAAAATATATATGGAACAATATGAATATTTCTTGTTAAGCATGTAGATATGCTAATAACCAACAACTCACGCACGTACAAAAACTATCCAGGTGCAGTAAACTGATGGAATCGCCGCGAACTCTTCCCCATTCGGGAAACAGTAAGGAGTACTCGGCCTGCAAATTTGCCGCTTACATTGCTAGCGCTAGCAGATGAATGCCAACCGACCGTATATCTCTTCACTTGGGCGTTTATTCCTTAAATTAAAGCCATTACAAGGGCTACTTAAAGCATCAGAAACCAAAAAATGGAATAATCATAACAAAAATCGTATTTATTTTGCGAAAGAAGTAAATCTGAATATTATCTAGGAAATAAGTGAAGAACATCTTCATCTACTTCCAGTGCACTTCATACCTTTCAATAATAATTTCGTATCTATGCTTGCAAATTCACATTTTTAATTTACTTGTATACGAAAAATGTTATGAGCGTCACCAATTCAGCTTTGGAATCTTTTTTTTACTCAGAATGACTCAAAAAGGGCCCAGTTCCTTACCCCAATTTCCTTCGATTCCTTTGATTCTCAAATTAATAATTTTTCAATCACGTAATCCCTGTTTAAATTCAAATTTTATCTATTAATAATGTTCCTAATTTTATACCTTTCAATAATAATTTCGTATCTGTGCTTGCAAATTCACATTTTTAATTTACTTGTATACGAAAAATGTTATGAGCGTTACCAATTCAGCTTTGGAATCTTTTTTTTACTCAGAATGACTCAAAAAGGGCCCAGTTCCTTTCCCCAATTTCCTAATTTTAAGCCCTGTTTAAATTGATAATGTATTTATTTTGAAGTTATCTATTAATAATGTTTCTAATTGCATTTTGTTTAGGAGTCACTAAACTCGAGTAATACCTTGGTAAAGCTTTCGTCATGTTCACTCCCGAAAAATGTCAAAATACTTGGCTCATTCACTAGTACCAACGCTTGAGTGAGGCCATGCACCTTGATTACACATTAGCAATAAAAAAAATAAGTTTAACTTGTTTATAAGACCCAAATTTCAAACTATTTTTCAAAGACAAATAATTAGGAATTTTAAGTTAATATTTTATTTTAGACTTGTGAAAAGTCACAATCTACTGTGCTTGTATTTATTTAGCAACATATACGTATAATGTTTAATTATCCTGTTAGCCCTTCATAGTGGTTTGTATTCAAATTAAACTAATTGTAAAAACAAAGTAATTAACATTCCCTTAAGGTACTGCCTAATATCGAGTAATATTTTGGGAGGAGATAAATTTGCTACCCCTTTCTGGTAGCAATGTCCGCTGCCGTTCTTTTTCCGTGGCTTTTCGAATAAAATTTATTTTGAAACAACCCGGTAATTAATTTTTTATTTCCCTTTTGTTTTAAGGTTACAGTCGCAGGTAAGGCGATCCTTATAACAGGATGCGATTCAAGAATAGGCAGCGCCCTCGCCCGGTACCTGGATGACCTTGGTTTCACGGTATTTGCGGGATTCCAAAATGCCGCCGACAATCCCCTTGCGCAAGAACTGAAGGAGGAGTCGTCGGGACGCTTGCACGTCCTTCAACTAGATGTCTCCTCTGAGACGCAGATCCTTGCGGCCAGTCTGTACGCCGTCGAACATCTTCCCGACGGGGCACCAGGACTCTGGGCAGTTATTAACGCCGCTTCCTGGATCGCTCTGGGAGAAATCGAATGGCTACCTCCCCAGGTACATTAGATGTAGCATTACATACAAAATTGACTTGTTTCTAAGTTTATTCAAGAAGCCATATTGCAATATCATAATATATTAAAACGGCCCTCATAATCAACAAATTATTCGAATTAAATGAAATACAATCGGTTGTTAGAACAAAATACTACAATTTCGTCACAGTACTAAAAATAAGTCATACTGTTTTGCTTTTGCTAAAACAACCTACCAACATATATAAACGAATTAAAGAATGAACGGGAAGAGAAAATGGAAAATAATACTAATTATATCAAAATAAAACTATTTGGCTAAAAGCTTGCGGAGTATAAATAGAAGGAGCAAATTTATTTTTGTTCCTACGCTGTAAATTACACGTGAATATATATATATATATATTGAAATACAGTCGAATCTCGATTGCAATAAACAATAAAAGAGTCTACAGAAATTAAAAAAGAAACGAAAACTTTTCACAATATCTTCTCTTTAAAGCAAATATCGATTAATATAAAAGAAAATGTTCTTTTACTCTTTCGATTGACGTCACGGAGAAAATTAAAAAGGAAAATTTACACAAATATTAAAGCGATATCTACAATTTATCCCACTAGCCCATTGCTTCCTAAGCGAAAGTAATAAAAATTACAATTTGAACCAGAATTTGTAAAAATAAAATCCCAGCANAGATACCAGATATATCAAATTTGTAAGAAACTTAATAATAATAATTTTCTTTTCTTTAATTAATTCTAAAATGTTTCAAAATACACCTACTGCGTCATCAATTAATATTTTTTAAAAAAGCATGTCAAAATTGAAATTATTACAAGTTACCTAATAAATTCTGCTATTTCTACGGCAGATTCAGTCATTTGCAATTGTAATTTTTGCTTTGCTATAAAAATTTAGACTTCTTCGTGGTTGTAATTTTTGAAAACAATGCTAGTATCTTGGCTTGGACGCCCCTAATTAAAAGATTCACGAAGAAACAGTTCAATAAGCACCTATTTATTACGTCATTAGTACGTGTAAAGGAGTAACCAAATTTTTCGCAAACGAAAGCAAAATTACATGCTTAAATAACCAACAGTTGACAAACAAACTAATCATTTGGCAGCAGATCCAATAAAAACGTCATGTACACATTTTTAACCTAACTACCACCTAAAAATAATTCTTAATCCGACTTTTAACGACTTCGAATTTGAGTGAGCAAATACATTTGATTATGTAGGTCTTCTGGAGTTTTACTCTCTTCACTGTGCGAAATTATGCAGTTAATAGCTGCAATTGTTTATTTTCAATTTGCTAAACGTAGCTGAGGGATTTTCATTGCAATTTTCCACCATGTTAACCATAAAAACGCAGTACCTACCCGGTCAAGCAGAAGCGAAATTCATTTTGCGATGGTATAGAATTTGTCATCACGTCACTGCAGATCGAGAGCAAACTAAAACACTTGCTCAATTGTTAAGTACTATGTGGTATTAGAGACGCTCGAAATTCATCTTCCCCCCTCCTCCAATGTAATATTAAGAGTTAAACGGATCAATGGTGTATTTTTGCTCTTCATGACTGCTTTTGCTGGTGATTGCGCTTTTGCAATTTGTACATTTATTCTCTGAAAATATGTTTGATTTTAAAACATTTTTGGGAATATAATTATATTAAGTCAAATGATCACTACGATAATTTGGTTTTAACAAAATAGATAACGAAAAAGGCTGGTATGTATAGGTCATTGTTTCAAAATTAAGTGTACTGTTTTGAAACAAATTATACATGATGTAAAGAACTAAAAATGTCTTTGGTAGGTAAAGAAAATAATATATCAGAAATGAAAATCTGCTGCACCAATCGCTGATACTATTAAGTTATTGGATATTCCTTAAACGTTTTTAAATTTAGTTTGACTCAATCATCGTATTATTTATAAAATTCTTTGAATTCCCTTCGCTTTAAGATTTCCAAAAATAAACATATCTTATTTGAGCAAACATTTAAATTACTTCATGATACTTCTCAACAAAATCAAAACGATATTATTTTAATCATTTGTGAGCGTAAAGCAAGTGATTCCATTCCAAGTTTCAATATTGTACATAAATACATACCTACCTACCAATTTTAGCGAAGACATAAACAGTATTTTTGATGAAAAAATAATAATAAAAAAAAAAAATGAAAGAAAACATACTTATAATTATGATTATGATCTTTTAATTTCAAAGTAACTTTCCACGATACTGAAAACTTCAAACAATTCGGTTTTTCTAATCGCTATTTATAAGTCTTCCATGATATTTGTTTTTTCAAAAAGTGACGCCTGTACTAATTTGCAAATGCTTCATGAATATAGATAGGTAACTTTTTTTACGATTTCCCCAAATTATATGGCATTGTAGGTGTCAACAGGTGGGAATGTTAAAAAAAAATAACAAATTAAATAACAAGGGTGAATGTGATAAAATAAATCGGAAAACCGGACTGATGTTATTCACATGTTTTGTATAAAACTTTTTACCATTCTGCTACATCTTGCGTCATGGGTAGGTAAATAGTGGGTTATCGATTAAACTCAAGCCTCTGCAGAGTGTGGGTGTGCTGACGTCACCGACTGGGTGTTATGGTTCATCTTGAATTCCGCTGGAACAACGGATTTCCATTTTTTACAACAAGCGAAGGAAATATTTACATAAATAGCGCATAAACGGACAATTTGATACATTGTTCTCAATTAATTGTCCTTGTGTCACCTGTCTTTGTACCATAAGGAATATCCTTTTGTAAAAATGTTTTCTGGTCAAACTCCTGAAACTTGTATCGAATCGTCCATGCCTGAAGTTGAGCATGTTTCTAGATTATATTCTTCGACTTGCTACCATATTGGTACATTTATCATTTTTAATCAGTGGAAGGAACGGGGAGATAATCGAGAAAAGCGGCTAATTGGAGCAAATGTAAAATTGATCCCCTGACTATTATGTGTCTGACAATACTTAATTAGTAATTAAAAATATAGATAGCTGAGCTGTTGGCTGTAATGTTTGTAGTTATCACTTTTAGTAGACTTTATTTATATTTAACTCTTTTTCTTTAATTTTAGTTATTCACAAAATTCACCAACAACGTATAATACTAATACTAATAACTAATAAGAGGGGGGTTAAAAAAAACTTCTTGTTAACGTATTTATATCCTTTTATGTCATTAAATAACTGCGTATGCCAAGTCTAAATTTATTTCNGATTATACATATGGAACTGACAACTTATGTGGGTATTTCGGTAGATATTTAGTTCGCTAAAAATAAGTTCAGGTGTATAAAATATTTTCTTTAATTTTAGTTATTCACAAAATTCACCAACAACGTATAATACTAATACTAATAACTAATAAGAGGGGGGTTAAAAAAAACTTCTTGTTAACGTATTTATATCCTTTTATGTCATTAAATAACTGCGTATGCCAAGTCTAAATTTATTTCTAACACAACTCTAACGTCTATATTGCTATAGGTAAAAGTTATGGTGGAAGCACGAGGCATATAAAATTGAAATTCTTGTCAAACTATAAATATTAAACTATTTGGCATGAGTTGTAAATGGGGAAAATAAAAGAAATTGACAATAGATACTTTAGTTCTTCAATAATTACTAAAAACAAACAAACTGACACAATTTATCTTTATTTTTCAAAAATTCTTAAATGCCAAAACAAAATGCGAAACCTTTCAACAATTTAAAGCTTAAAGTAAAGAAGTAAAGCGTCGTAGAAGTTGGCAGACAATCAATTCTCCTTAATTACTAATACCGAAAATATGATAATATCATATTTCCAAACCGAAAGAGAAACCCATCAAATAAACTGAAATGAAAGACGAATTGGCATTCTTTTCCAAAGCAGATAACAGAAATACCAAAACAAAATTTTGATTTCCAACGGAAATGGAATCATGTGAAAACATGGACATTATTTTCGAAACAGAGAGAATACCTACAGTCTGTCCCACTATAATTCACAATGATTAGAAAATTTTCTATTTAGAACAAAGAATTGGACCTTTTGTATTATTAGAAGAATACTAGGAAAAGCAAAAACTTATAGGTGATTCAGTGATCTGAATCTGACCCACATCTTTATGATTCCAAATTTTGGCAAATTCAGTCAAATTTTCTTCCAACTCCAAATCAGTATCGGCTAAGTCATTTTCCTTTTCAAATAGTTTGATAATCTAAGATTGGATAGATCAATTGTGTAAATCTTTGTCACGAACACTGATATCTCTCATTAATTTTTTCAAACTGTCCTTGTAGATTTCAATGCCTGCAGCGATAATATTATTATTTTAATATAAGAGATGTAATTAAATCTCGATGAGGTAAAAGTTAAAGAAAACCGTGTCCTATTAGCCCACTTTTTCGCTTTCCAAATACGATCGATTCCAGATCTTGGAACACTTTTAATTAAGTGTTTGCCTTTTCGTTTCTCTTTAGATTATAAGGAAAGCAACAGAACTAAATTTCCTTGGACCCACACGTCTCATCCAAATCATGCTTCCGCTAATTCGTCGTGCCCGTGGACGTATAGTCTTCATGACTTCCGGTTTGGCAAGTGTGGCATCACCTGTTAGAGGTATACACAGTGCCCTATTGAATGCGATCGAGGCAGAGGCGTCTTGTCTTCGTCAAGAACTGAGACCCCGTGGGGTTGAAGTGATTGTTGTCGCACCCGGGGAATACACCGCTGGCAGCTCGTGGCTTTCTGACGACGACATACGAGATCAAGCCCAAGAAATGTGGTTACAACTGTGCCACGAACAGAGAAAGAGCTACGGAGAAGATTACTTTGAAACGGCTGTCAGAAGTTTGGAAAAGTTTACAAAAGGACCGGTAAGTTTAAAAAGCACCTCCACTCGTTCCTATTTTAAGCCAACCTTCGCATTTCTCTAAAACTAGAGAAAATTACATATTTGCGAACAGTAATCTAATCCAGATGTAATTCTATCTATCCCTAACTCCTTTTTCTGCTTCTAAAATGCTTCTAACTAACTATTTCGCCTAATTCTTATTGACTTCCCTAACACCCTCTGTTCTCCTACTCTTTCTAATGTCTCTTTATTTCTAATATTTTCTATTCACCTAATTTTTATCATGCCGGAGAAGGTGTTCTATCAGTCTATCCCCTATTTCTTACTGACTTCAATTGCGCCCTCTGTTCTTCTACTCATTCTGATACCTCCCCATTTCTAACTTTCTCTATCCTGTAACACCACATTCCAAACGCTTCTAGCTTCTTATTTCATACACCATTAATTAGTGTTCACAAATAATTAAGGATGTGAGATGAAATAGTTTTAGCTAAAGGCGATGATTAGATCGAGATAGGAAAGAGTGGAGGTGCGTGTTCAACCAGTCTTAGGACTGACGACCCCTAAGCTGATGACACCTTTAGTAATCGTTTTTGAATTTCCTAATTAACCAATCAGAGCGTTTATTGTTTTAAGGTGTTGACTAATTACCTATTTCTGAATTATTTTTTCATTAATTAGGAAGCTGATTTGTCCCCGGTGCTGCGCTCCTTGACTGATTCTGTTGTGAAGACTTTCCCCTTACCAAAATATACTCCAATTACACGACAAGAAAAAATTCAATCATTCATCGCAAATCATTTACCCCAAACGCTGTACAATATTATTTACAACTAAACCGGTTGTTAACTATTTTTAAGTTACATTTTCAGCAACCAAATTTACCAAAACGAATTTGTTTTGTTATTAGTAGTTTATTAATGTTGCTGGGTCGTATTTTTTTGGACCAAACTGATTTCCAAAAAAAATTCTTGTAGAAATAAAGACTTTGATTGCTATAGTGTACTGTACCTACTGCTTATTCATGAAATTGTAGGATAATTAAAGAAACGTCTTTGGTTTGGCAAAATGCATTTTTAATATGCATTTTAAATATTTTTTTTGGANCATAAAGATTTAGTACGCATATTAGATCCTTTTAATTTTTGCCTAGTTTGTATGTGGTTATTGGTTTGATAAATTGTATAGACTCCTTTAGCCTAATCAAAAAAATAATGTCTTTTAAATAAGCATTTAATAAAATTTGTTTATTTATAAATGGCATTTTAGCTTATTATTTAATAAGAATTTAGAAATGTATCTATTATTGTTACGTTTAAAAATAAAAAAATTTTGAATTGTTTAAAGTTTGACAAAAACTAATTATCCAATTTCACCCTGCAATAAACACCCTGTACATACATTCATTAACTAATGACATCTTGCGACTACTGTTTTGAATTATGAATCAATTGTTACATAATTGTCAAGATTAGTTAGACCTAATTTCATTAAATAAGACTTCAGATTTTTTTTAATTGAAGGGAATTTGAAAAGGTATTGTTCGGTGGTTAAAAGAATATATTTAGAAAGGTACAAGTGTTTTAAGAGTGAGGCACAACAATTTCGAAAAGGGTGAACGACCACCAAGGCACACCTTGAAACCTAACAAATCGTTCAACGAAAAATGTGACTGTCTGAGACATTTCTTTATCGATTTTGTTTAAAATTATCTAGAAACAACATTGACCCTGTGTACTACGCTAGGCGGTGCCGCCATGCGCTTTTACTACCACTATTTTTAACCACCCCGTCTAGCTCAGTCTATCTACTTTTCATCAAAGAGAAAAGGGCGGTAACTGACGTTTTATAAAAGTTGTTTGGCTTGTATCAAAAATATTTTAAATCACTGCCTTACAAGGATGGACGATTCAACGCTAAACGGTAAGCCATTTAAAATTACAAATGTTACTCGCGAAATTCGAAAAGGTGTTGTTGCGAATTCGTTGTCTGATCTAACCTCAAAAGTGTGCGAAAAATTCGGTTACGATGACGAAGTATCCGTCGTTTTGGAAGTAGATGGGACAGAAATAGACGACGAAGAATACTTTGCAACCCTTGAGCCGCATACAAATCTTATGATTTTAAAAGGAGACCAAAAATGGTGTCAACCTTCTCCACCTTGTCGTATATCTACTGATCAGGTGGATGATATAAAAGGGGGGCCTGAACTGGCCGGTTTGGTTGGAAAGCTTAAACAAAATTTGTGTCACGTATCCTTGCTGGGAGCTCCAGATTTGGAATTATTGAGCGACATGGATCCTGATTCCTTGGTTGACATAACATTCCCAGATAAAATATTTCTGGAGCAACTTAAAGAAGCCTCAAGTCGATTCTTAAGTGAAAAACGACAAGCCCAAGATGCTCTCGAGCTGTTAAGATTGTACCATGAAAAGGAAACAGAAGAAAGAGAAGTACAACCGGAATTGATCAATTAATTGAAGAAGGAGCGAAAGAATCAGTAACTAGAAGACTGACCATCACTTTCATAATGTTTTTGGAGTAATGTCTTTGCTCAAACACAAGCACGATTGCCTATTCAAACACCAAAGACACGTTGCTATTGAATCTATAAGGTAAAACAAAATTTTTGTCACTAAAGCACAGTCACAGTCCATCACTACACATCCAACAAGTTGCCCATAATAGATAATTAATAGTACATTAATCGTATGAGTATTTAACTTGATGTAGTAATTTTGTAATTTATGTGTATTTAGCTGTGATATATTGAGTAAGTTTTGTTAAATTATACAATTGTTGGGCCAGAACCAAATAATGAGAACAAACTCCCTTATTGTAACATAAATTAATATTCCAATTTTATTAATTTCTCCTTCAATGATTACAAACAATTTTCAAATTGCAATTGCCTCTTAATGTTTCCTATGATATAAATAATATGAAGTAAAAATATAAATTTCATGAGTAATGCAACAATAATTACTGGAGCCTTAACATAAATAAAAGTTTGAAACCATTTCCAATAAAAACTTGTGATAACAATACAAATGCATAAAATATCGGGTGTTAAACTAAAATTTCCTTTAAAGATAAATGGTCATAACAAGCAGGGTAGACATATGGAAAGGGCCCCAGAAGTCATAGGTCCCATACATTTCTTTGTTTCAATAAAATATTATATGTTCATAGGTTTTGTCATCTTATTTTATCCCCTTTATTCACTCACAATCAGTGCACTTCCGGGGCCAATCATACCCTTTTTGGAGGGTTCATAGAAAAAAATTAAAATTTGCACAAAATTATGAAACCTCTCGCTACGTGGGGCAAATTACCTATGCCTACTCACCCAACTATAACTTAATTATAATATACACCCAGTAGATTATGTATAAGGGGTAAACAATTGTTATACATTAAATCAGTCCCTTTTTCTAATCAGTTTCGAATACTATCGCTCTAATTTTTTATACACTATGCCTTATTATACCTTTTTATGACATCCACACACTTAACACAATTTACCCTTCTTAAATATGTAGATGTATAGATGGGTATGTGTAAGTAATCTGCAGATTGAAATTTTTATATAATCTTTATTTCAATCAAGTTAGCTATATAAACTTTTATTGATAAATATAAAAGTTGTGCAATTGGTTAAAACTGAAAAAAAGGTGCCATTTCACTATTAAATGTTAGGGTTTCTTAATATGAAGTCATAAGATAAACTTTCATCTTTTTCAATTAATTAATACCTTGGTAAATTTTTAATTATAAATACGTAAGTACTATATTTTGTTTACCAATTTTAAAGTTAGAAAGTTACTATACAGGGTGTGTGATGGCGAACTTTATTTAAAATTTTCACTAAAGGTCGATATAACACACCTGCTATTAAATAATTAACTACAAAAAAATACCTTGTTTAGATAGTTCCTTCAATACTACATACCTAGTATTTATTATTGAAATAGGAGACTCGTTTTACAGTTTTACATTAAAACGTGACTCCTATTTCGCAAAATATTCTTTCGTCATTTGTAGAACAAAAGAAAAGATAATCCTACTATCATTGCGTCCATTCATTAATTCTCTTTCATATGTCTCACTATTATTTGCCAAAATTGTCAATTTATAGTATAATGTGGAATCAATTTTTGTCGACTTGGGCACTTATGTAATGTTATGAACTGTGGTCCACATAACAGATGTTGTTAGGCACAAAATTAAAATGTGTTAAAATGTCTCATTATTGTTCAAACTGTTTGCAAGGAAGAAACAAGAAAATCATGAACGTGAAACTAAGGAAAGGAACTTGGCATTCTTGTATTCCATTGGCCTAAGTGTGTTTAAATTTTAATCATTTAACTACATAGTATGTACCATGTGCTTTTAAGAAATAGGGTTGTGGATATATTAATTGAGTTTAGAATATGTATATTTTCCGCTAAAATGAGGAAAATTAGCTTATCAGTAGAATGTCAATGGAAAGATAAACACATTCGATAAAAACAGGGTGTATCCTTGAAAGTTTAAATTTGTATCTTTTAGCTATATCATCTATAGTGTTCTCAACCAAATAATCAGACGTGAAGAGAAAAGCTCTTTTGTGATACACCCTGTACATATCTTCCTTTTGTGAAGCTGATTGGCTTTTTAGACTGGTTCCTTTTGAACTGTTTTTACCGGTGTTGTACCGCAATACTGATTGATTACGCTCAACTTTTACAAAGTGTTCCCTTTAGATCCCTACTGAGACTATTATCGTAACTGTAACTTACAATTAGTTTCTAATCACGAAGAAGAAAAGAAAGAACTAATGACAACACTTCTGAATCTTATTGTAACAAATAATAAACATTCATAACACAGCAATTATTTGAATAGGTCTAAATTTTACGAAATATTGTACACATTAAGTGGTGTTTCCCCAAAAGTGCACATTTAATGCAAAAGATGTATAAATGTTCTAACTTTTGCTCTGTATATGTTGCGTTAAGGATGTTGTTACTACTGACATTTTTATCAGAATTTTTGTACCCTTTTTAAACACTTCTTAATGCATGGAACCCCATGTAATCCTAAAAATTTGTTAATAAAAATGTACTCGTTTAAGATGTTCGCTTTTTATTTATAAACTAGCTAATGTTATTACAAACATTAAATTCGTTAATTTAGATCTGATCTTTGAGATTTAAAGAAAATACTTTGCTATAAACTAACTGGCTGAATGAATATTAAGCTGTACATTAGCCAGTACTTCAATTTGAGAGAATTACCCGAAATGAATATCTATGGATCTGTCACATTAAAAATTAAAAGGTAACCTGTCAGTTTCGTGAAAATACAGCACGATTATATCGTGTTCTTTTACTTATACTGCTTTAAGGTAAGTAAAAAGTAACAAGAATTGGTTATTTAACGTTCAGTTGTAGTGTTTATCAATATAAGATACCAGATATATCAAATTTGTGAAAAAGACATGAACATCCCACCCCTGTTTGCTTATTTTTAGTGATTCATAATAGGCCAACATAGGTCTTTCCGACACTGCTCTTATCGACATGGTGGTCTCAAACATACAACAACAACGTGCCATAACCGAACAATTACGTAGGGAGGCTGCTATTAAAAGAATACCTGTCTCGGAAGCAGTTGCTGACATAGTCAAGTACATACAAGAGCATGAACAAGATGATTGCCTTGTAGTAGGATTCAGTAATCAACGTGTGAATCCTTTCAGGGAAAAAAGCTCATGTACCGTCGTTTAATAATGTATTTGCCTGAAGAATTGTAGTTTATTAGGGTGCTGTTTCTACATATAAATGATGTTTCTAACTTTTAGTAATCATTATTTATTATTAACTTCCCATTAGGAAGTTATTGTAATTGGGTCGAAAAGTGAAATCGGAATTTTCATTATATTTCCACGTTTTAACATATTAGTAGCATGCTAGCCAATTTTTTTGATGATGTGTGTATGTACGTACGTACGTACGTACGTACGTACGTATGTACGTACGTTCGTATGTCAGCATTTTTTTCGTTTTCGATATCTCAAGAACGGATTGAGATATCGCCCTCAACCAAAATTTTTTCGAAAGATATTATCATAATGAAGATCTGAAAGAAATTTGAACGAAATCGGTCAAGCCGTTTTTTTTTTATAAAAAAAACGAATTAATTACAAACAATTTAATTAAAATACGTTCTAATCTAATCACAACAATGAAGTTACGGAATCAATAATAACTGTATTATCTAATGGGAAGTTAGTCGTATTAGCACCGACCAAAGCGTGCTCAGACCAATTTTTTCTGTTCTGTGTTTGATCATTGTATTAATATTTCACAGTAATAATTTAAGATACTGTTTCCTATCAGTGGACTAGTAATTAATGTAATGATTTTCTGATCTAAATTAATAACTGTCTCTCAGGTATTGTCCCTACTAAATATTGATTTTAATTGTATCATGTCGTAATACAAGAAATGGAAGTTTCAATAGTGTTTTATTCCTTTGAACCTCTAACTTAATATTTCATTGTAATCATAAATTGATAATTCTAATGAACGAAGCTTCAACTCTGGAAAAGATGTATTTTTTTCCCATAAAAAGTACTAAAAATTTGTACTACATCCACTTTCTAATAGAGCTACAACCCACTATTAACCATAGCTTCCTGATTCATAGGGACTTGTTAAGGTTATGCCGAATAGATGTAACGAAAAAAAAAACTTAAAATATTGTTATGTTCTAAAAAATTTTATTAATATATAAACGGCTACAAGCTTAAATAATATGTCTGCTTAAACGAACTTCGAAAAATAGGATTCTTAGAAATGCAACACAACAAAAAGGTTCAATCGTATTTTTCAATTTTTTTTCTTGTAAAATACAAACAAGCTCATTCTTATTTGCTTAAGTATTAGCCTTCTAATTCTCCGGCTGCGCAGGCTTCTTGATAGCTCTTGGTCTTTCTATCTTCTGGGTCAAGTTTAATCATGTCATCAATTCTTAGTATTGTAATGGCAGCTTCTGTTGCGAACTTGAGCGATTTAATTTTAGAAATAGTCGGCTCCAAAACACCAGCTTTCCTGTTATCCTTAACGGTACCCTCCAAGAGATCAAGACCGACATATTTCAAATGTGCATGGTCAACTTTGGTCTGACTTGAATTGTGATAAGCCCTTAACTTCGCCACCAAATCGGTTGCATCTTGAGCCGCATTCACTGCCAATGTCTTTGGAATTACCAAGAGACTTTTTGCAAATTCGGCAATGGCAAGTTGTTCCCGTGAACTAAGGGTTGTAGCAAAGTTCTCTAGGTATATGGAAAGGGCTGCTTCGACGGCACCACCTCCTACTACCACACTTTTTGATTCCAGAACCCTTTTAACCACGCACAACGCATCGTGGACGGAACGCTCCATCTCATCACAAAAGAAATCATTCGGACCACGAAGGATTATGGAAGCAGCAGTACGGGCCTTTGGTCTATTGATATAAAAAAAAAATTAAATGAAGTTCAACTGTTAAATAATACATACAGTTTAAATAACTGGGTCTGCTACTATACTGAGTTCAGAAATTTGTAAAATGAAAATCAATTATGTTCAAAAGAAATTTAGTTACTTACCCTTTAATAAGAATCAATTCATCGTCGCAAATTCTTTCTTGAACGACTTCAGCAGCTTCCCCAACCATACTGACATCAAAACTTTCTTCACCTAAGGAAAACAGAAATTCAAATATTAGTATATAATTACTTTTGGTGCATTAAATTACCTTCCAAGTTGCTTAAAGAATGCAAAAATTGAGCCCCTGTGGCTTTAGCAATTCGCTTCAAGTCATTTGTCTTTACTCTTCTAACAGCCATTGCTCCACTTTCTACAAAAAGTTTCATGCAAGTATCATCCACTCCACCAGTTAAAAGGACGACGTTTACTCCTGTTGCTAAAATTTTCTTAATTCTTTCCTTAGTTATATCCAATTCTCTAGCACGAATTCCTTCCAATTTATCAGGATCTTCTACTAATACCTGAAATAACAAGAAAATAGGAATGACAAAAATAAAATAACCAAACTGAGTCTATTGACTTACCTGAATACCAAGTTTCATTTTAACTTTCTGAAGAGAAAAGTCAAGACATGCAATTTTAGCATTGACAATCTTCTTGGGCATTGCTTGACTGGCTATAGTGCAATTAAGAGCATATCCTTGAATAAGAACACTTTCTTTGGTGCTACGTCCATGAGCTTTCAAAACATTTACTGCCTTAATTGGATACAATGGATTTCCTTTGTAATCTATTACTTTAATTGCATTTGCAGCATCAACTACCATATTAGCAAAGAAATCTGAATCACTGTAAGTAAAAAATGGGTGCTTTTAAGAGACTAATACTTAACTTATAATATTACATACAGGGTTTTTTAGAACATTCTTTTTTTGATTGGCAGCTTACAAAATTGTATCCTACTGTCTTTTTCAACGATTAATAAATTGAATATCTTACCTTCCAATAATTTTCGAACTCATTGATGTTTTGGCAATATTAACAATACACTCTTTGCCAAGATCTGCTACTGGAATGGTAAGGTGGTCCTGAATGTATTTGCAAGCTTCTTTGCATGCTAGTCGATAACCGCTAATAATTGAGGTAGGATGGATTTTTTGCTTCACAAGTTCATCAGCATTCTAAGCAAACAGAAAATATACTAAGTCTGGATTTAGGTTAACAAATAAGGAAACCTTGTACCAGGAAAATCTTACCTTCAGTAACTCAGCAGCTATTATGACCACAGAGGTTGTACCATCTCCAACTTCTTCATCTTGCAATTGAGCTAGTTCTACTAAAACTCTGGCTGCAGGATGTTCAACGTCTAATAATTTTAATATAGTAGCACCATCGTTGGTGACGGTTACATCCCCAATATCATCTACCAACATTTTATCTAGACCCACAGGCCCTAATGAACTTTTTACTATATTTGCGATGGAACAAGCAGCCATTACTGAAATTTTATTAGTTTACTACAAATTGAATTTGAGTGTGTACGTGGTTTTCTTAAAAGTGAGAAGAAATACGTAAAAAAAACATTTTATAAATACACCTGCACTTAAGCGTGTTTGGTATAGGTTAGGATATGTTTACTTACCATTTTGGGTTCTCACAGGAGCCCCCGATGTTCTCGTACCCGCAACAGACAATGGACTTGCTAATGTAGACATTTTTTACTTGCAAATGTAATTTCTAATTTTTTTCCAGTAATTATAGGATAAAATTGGTTAATGCGTGACAAACCGCTAATACACCTATGATCAATTTTTTTTGGTGAAATTCATACCAAGTTCATACATCTCATAGATACATCTATAGGGATTCATAGACACACTTTATTAAGTTATGATTAAGATCGAGAACGCCATAGGCGTAGCATGTTATTTTAACTTGCAATTTGAGGTATATAATAATGATTCATTGCTAAAAATGACCGAATGCTTACAAAAAGGTATTCTATTAATAATTGGCTTTAAATTTAAAATTACTTAAATTTCAAAAAGGAATATTTACTTCATTTCAAATATTTAAGGAATATTTTAAAATTTCTGAAGTGGTAATAAATATATCATTCTGTTTTTAAAACAATTTTTATTGAGAAGTTCAGTAGAAAATTTATTCAAATACAGAACTAATTCTTATTACAAAGCACCTAACAATGTATTGTTATTAATATGATACAATTATACTTCAAACAAAAATCACTCAATTAATGGTTCCGACTGTGATACCTGTGTTTCTTTAAAGAGGAAGACGAATATTTCGATCTGGATCTGGACCTATGCCTTCGAGTTCTTTCGTATTTTTCGTCATACCGACCGTTATGGTGAGAATAAGGCTCCTTATGTCGATGTCTGTATTTTTCATAATGGTGCTCATTATAACCTTTGCCTTCATCAGAATAATTATTATATTTATCATGTTTTCTTTCGTCACTTGATATTTTACTGCAACTCCTACTTCTGTATTCATGATCTTTTTCATAACTTCCATCCCTACTCTTTAAACAGCCCCCATCAGGGACATACTCATCCCGTTTTTTTTTATAACTATTTCGATATTCGTCTCTTTCGTGGTCGTATTTACGACTTCCACGTTGCTTGGAACCCTTTGAACTCTCTGAATGGTTACTTCCTCGACTTGTTAGTGAATTATCGCAGGGATAATCGTAAAGGACATCAGAGGCGTAGGAACGATCCTGTGAGCTACCATCGACAGGATGTTCATTACTTTCACTAAGTTGTTCGTTATTTTGGTTGTCAGGATCATCTGGATCACCTTCAGGAGTTCTGCATCCCCTAATTCTGCCTTCTTGAAGCCAGTCTTTGTACATTTCCATTTGACTACCTATTACTTCTCGCAAAACTTCTTTGTAACTCTTTTTGTTTGTATGAACCGCTTTGTATTTTATACGCCGACGCCTGGCGTCCCTTTTACGTATCAAGAGCTCCTCTTCTGTGAGAGTTTTGTTTTCCACAGATTCGTTTGGTTCATTACTAAAAATTTGGGAAATGGGTTAGAAAAGGCTTATTTTCGATCATGTTTTTGTTACATACATGTTAAATTCTGGTGGAGCAATTGGGCCTTTGGTACGTGAAATGACGTATTCATATAAGGCTGTTCGCTCATCATTACTAAAAGTTGACATGAGACGGTCTGCTGTCTTGGGGTCTCGATCTCTTCCATTCCATCCTAAAATAATAATTTTTACGTCTGTAGATTACATATTTTTTAAATTTTAAGTCGATACTTTTTTTTTCTACTTTCAATTAAGTGTAAACATTAAACAGGTTTTTAAATGATAATTAGTTAAAGCTATTTAAAGCAAGTATATATTATACAAACGAATTAATACAAGTCTAATATATTAATATGAAATATCCATTATTACAATTAAATCTGTTCTCATACTTGCTGGTTTTCGAAGATAAGTATGAGTAATTAAATATCTGTTATCAAATGAAATGAAATAGTCCTTTATCTTATTGCAATTTAGTATTAACATACTTTTAAAAAAGGATATCAAAAAGGATATCATATTCAAGCCACATGTTACAAATTCAGTAAACTGTAAACTTTATGAGACTATTTATCATTTCTGAAAAAATAACAATAATGTAATCCTAAGTTAAACAAGGAATAATTAAACTACCAACCTCTTCTGAAGTTTGGAATTCTTTGACTGGCTTCATTAAATATGGCCATTTTCACCCCATTTTCTTAAAAAATAATACCAGTTAATGAAAACTAATAATAGATCAAGAAACTTAAAATTTACCAATATAAAGTGATGCTTGGGGATCATGAAGAGGTTCAGATAAGAAATTTTCATTTAAGGCATATCCTTCACGCTTTAAATAACATGTTTCAGTATGACTACTAACATTCTTTTCGGCTATTTTGTGATTTAAATCAAGAGGACAGTTAACAAGGGTTTTCTCCTAAAATAATGACAGTATGTTATTTAGAGCAAAGTATACATTACCAACTTTTACTTTTAACACTTCTTTCACATTCCATCCCAAGCAATCTAATATAGAATGAACTTTATCTTTTGAAGTAAATATGAACTGTTCTAAATTCAGCAGCTGCTTCTTACGAACTTGTATGTTAAAATCCATTATTATACAGTAATTATTAAAGAATCTAGTGTAAATTAACACTCTTAAATAATACATCAAAACTAAACAAACCGCTTGTTACATCACATCAGCAGCACAGGAATAGGATGCAATGCAATTAATGTCGTTTTACATTTTACCAAGTTTTAAAAAATAGAACAGGTTAGGAATGCATGCATAGTGGTTCATACTACCGAGTACCAGTAACTATATCAAAAGAATTTCTAAATTAATAAAATAAAGGAGAATGTTATAACAGATGTCTTTATGATGGCCTTATTTTATTATTTGTCTTTAGCGTTGCTAAACATATCTTGCTTTATTGTTTTGAGAGTCAAAGTGACTTCGTGGTATATCATCCACATCCAATTAACCTTAATGTTATTTAATGTTATTATTTTCTTAACATTTACTAAAAATCAAGTTTGAGAATGTTTTTCTCACAAATCATCCGGAAATTGGGTGCTCTTGAATCATCACTTAATAGTATCTCATTTGTAAGTAGTCGAAATGCAGGAAATTATATCGAGAAACCCCTAATTGGCCATGGAAAAAGTTTTCGGCGTATAGTACATTATCCAGAAGAATACACTGTGAAACCTCTTGAAGTAACCAACTTGGGTGGAAGAGACCCTGTTAGTGGCCGGTTAGTAGTTAAAGGAATAGGGGGAGGCATTAAACATAAATATCATTGGATAGCATGGAAAAGAGAAGGTCCAAAAGAAGGCCCCCCACAAGTAGAAAGAGTTATTAAAGTCATTAAAGACGGTTGTAGAACCACTTTTGTGGCCCTTGTAGCTGTCGATGATAAATTAAAATATATTCTGGCAACAGAAAACATGAAGGCAGGTGATATAATAAGAACATCTTGCTACATCCCTAGAATACCAGTTCGACCCTTTGAGGGCGATGCCTACCCTCTCGGAGCTCTTCCTATAGGAACTAAAATTAACTGTGTTGAAAAATATCCTGGTCTGGGGGGGTTTCTTGTTCATGCTGCTGGAACTTGTGCTACAATTATGAGAAAAGCAGCAAATAATCATGTAGTTATACAAATGCCTAGTAAAAAGGAATTTTCTTTGCCAGAAATTTGTATGTGTACTGTAGGCAGATTGAGTAATGGGGAACATTGGAATACACCTATAGGATCTGCCCAGAAAAATAGAGAATTGGGAAATAGACCTAGATCAGGATGGTGGCAACGTAAAACTGGTCGTTTTGGTAGGAAAATAAGAAGATTGCCACCAGTTTTGACCATTGGACCAAAACAACCCAGCAACTCTGAAGAAATTAAATTCACCCTTGAGAATTATAATCATACTAGGAATTAATATAACAAATTCAATTGTTTTATTTTTTTTTTGTAAGGAATAAGTTCTAATAAACTTTTACTGTTGAATGAATAAGTGTTTTTGTTTCCTTCTTAAGTCCTTTACTTAATGCTATTTAAATATTGATGTACTTACGAGCAATTAGGAGTACTATATACTTATGACTCTGGTAGATATATTGTAAGTGGGGGAATACCCTCGGTTTATTTTGGTTTACGTGGTGATTTCTAGATTCCTACCTTTCGGTTTACCCACCACGGTCCGCATGAGCGCGACATTGAGATACGCTTATTCAACACAGGGTGGCTGAATCCACTGCTACTAGTTTCTCCTAGGGGTCATACATAGATTAGAAAAATATATTCTGTCAATCTATTTTGCTGACCCCCTAAGACACTGATGCAGGCGGAATCTATCTAACCCATACTAGGCCATAGATAATAGATACACAAAGGGTACTAGGCTTAACAGGTTCGGTACCCGTGGTCATCCGTGTAGGTGCCTACACCCCTCCCCTAACATGCGTAGTATAGCTACTGCCAATACGCCTCAAGCGGGGGAGTAGGTAGAAGGATTATTCCCGTGGAAGTCCCCCCCAGCCTTCCCGTTGTAATCAGTCACCACCATTGGTCTGATGTTCAAGAGATGAATTCCTTACCTGTGAATGTCGTATGGTCGCCGCAGGGAACATATACCACATAAAAAAAAGGTCTTACTATTCTATGTTCATTAAAAGAGTGCAGGACGATTGGTCATACATAGGTTCACGTTCTTGCAGACGACAGTTTCGTTATTTGCCCTCCTACTAATTTATATAGTTCAGGGTGATATATTGGTATGTTTTATAATGTATCATGCATACCTACCAATACATAAATGCGCCATTAAAAAAGTATATTAACACGGAATACCTAATTAAGAAGAAAACAATTAGTAAGTAGTTAACACACAAACAATAATTAGAAACGGAAAAATGTGGAGAAAGGAACAGAAAATCCATAATTTATGAGATATGCTAAAATCAAAAAGACTTGACGAGGTATTGGCGTATTAATGAAAGAGAAATAAAAATTACTCATGAGTTGAGGAAACTGTATATAAATGATTTATATAAATTGAAAAAATGTTGGGATTATTTTCTAGTTAAACAATAAATTATTAATTAACAAAAAAATGTTAATTATCATTTAAAAAATTGCTAGAGTAAAACTATTGTATATAATATAATTCATGAAACAGAAAGTTATCCTTGAGGTAGGACAATTGGACTGTTTAATTAATTTTATTTAACTGAGTTTTTAAACTCTATAAAAATTCTCAGCGACAGAATAAAAAACTTTGGCAAATTAATTAAATCTTCTGGAGCTGACGGCAAAACTTATTGTTTTCGTTGGTTATTAAAAGAACATTTGATATGCAATAAAAAAACTTCTACTTAAATTCGAACTTAGAAATTCGCTAATAAAAAGCTTTATGTTTTGCCGTAATATTTTGTTATTAGTCAACAGCGTCGATGGTGTTTCCATGGAAATGGAAAGCGCGTTGACGCTTCATTGCGCTTACGCCGAACTCAATGCCTGCTGTGATATTTCCAACGGAGAGCTTTTGCTGGGATAAGCTTTCGGGAGAAGGAGCACGATGACGAAGTTTCGGGAGTGTTGGACATTCCTTTTTGTACTAGCATTTCACGTGGTCTTTTGAATAAATTAAAGTCGCAAGCAATTAGAAGCGTCATTTACAAATCACAATTAATTTATTAAAATTTAAAAATCACCATGGAATTGAGCATCAATTCTCATAGATCGAACTCTTTACAATTAAAAGTGGCCGAATTTAAAGACGATCCCGAAAAAATGTTAGTCATTAATGAGTTTTTAGATGAACTTTGTGAAAATGCCAAAGTGGAAGCTGAATCAAGAAGAAGTAATAATAATAAACACAAAAACAAATTTGTAAGTACTTAATATTATTAAAAATAATAATTAATAAGTAAACTATAAGCAGGCAAAACTTTATAATTTCTAATCAGTATGTATTTTGATGACTTAAAAATAGTTTAATAAANAGGATAAAATGTATGATTTACTGAGTAATTGAGTAAATTTGTGATATTTGACGTATAAATATCAGCAAATCTAAACAATCTACGTGAGAAATATGTGGGATTGTGGTAAGTTCGGAATACGCTGCCAAACTGTTCATTGAAAACATATTTAATGTAATTCCTAGAAAAAAAAAGGTAAATTATAATTTTATTTTTCTTTGAATTGTAAAACAGAAACCTTAAAGTGTCTCTTTCAGCCATCCATTTTGCTAAAACTTCCTGTTCTTCCGGACTTTCACAGTCCTGATGTTCTTCAATTAATGTAGTTAGTACTTGAAGCCAATTGGCATTCTTTTTAAAATCTGTGCGATTTAGAGTATTTATTTCGTGCTAAAATTTGTTATCAAATTAAATTATTTTGTATTCAAGTGTTTTTAAAATAATTTAGATAATAAACTTACAGATAATTCATTAATGATTGCACCAGTTCTCCAACCATGTTCTAAAGTAACATCAGCAAGATCACTGTAAGGGTGATCTCCAAAATACAGCACTTGATGTCCAAACCATCCTGTCATATCCTGCAACTGTTTTACAGTACCCTGAAATTATTATTAATTATAAAAAGTATCTAATAATTTTATTAAAGCCTTAACTTCATAGTAAATTACTCCCTTTTCTAACTTTGTTACACGATCCCAGCAGTGTGTCCCTGTTTTCTCATCATATACTCTCATAGGTCTTGATTTGTCAGTAAAAAATCTTGGCTTTCTTGCTTGGACGATAATTATTTCAAAATAATCCCTCCAATCATCTCCAACTAGAAGTTTCATACCCTTATCACTGAAAATATTACTTATTAAAAATAATAAAAGCTTGCAATTTTTTTTACATCTCTTACACAAAATTGAAAGGGCTGTTTGTAACTAAAAATAATTGTTTATTTGCTTTAAGAAGCCTTTTAAAAAATATTTCAAGTATATTCAAATATTACTGAAACTTAAGACCTTATGATTTATTTATATCTTTTAGGGACAGGCTTTTAAATAATCCTGTTTTCCAGGTTATTAACACAATAAAAAATCCTTGTACAAAAGGATAACTGATTGTATTTTTTCGTTTCGCAACTTTTATATTAACGACTTTCATTTGTTTCTCTATTTCTTTATCAGCTTTTATGTCAAGAAGTTTGAAATGGAATGTGGTTATATATTTAGAAGAAGTGTGTGATATTTCTTATGCATATTACTGACATTAATTTATGTAGGTACTTTTTTCTTATTTACCCTTGACACTTCTTTTAATTTTTCCAACTTTGGTGATTCTTGGCACAAGAATGGGCAGGTAATTTCAGAGTTCTCCCTGGATGCGGCGGTACTCAATTTCGTCAAATGCCGTCCATCCCGAGTTGGAGTGGGTTGATTAACTTTTACTAATTTTTGGCAAAGGAATAGGGTGGCATCCAAGTTACGTCAGTGGAATATACTTAAACTTTTTGATGTTGTTGTGCTCTAAAGTTACTTAAAGTACATCAGCAATTTCTGTTTTTGTAGGTGGTAGTAAAAAGATTGGTGTTTGGTCGAATAGAGCCAGGTCATCAGCAAGAACATTTGTTACAAGAATCTTTACAGCAATATGCAATTGTTCAACCACTGTTCGTAATGCTACAACGGCGGCAATTAATCGTACTTAATATTTTATTAATTACTTTAGAAGTGTAAGCACACATTCTTATATTTTTGAATGTAAAAAACGTGAAGAGATGGAGCGAAGAAGCAAAAAAAATTGAATAACCTACATCGGTTTATTACCATATCATTAAAATCAAAAATATGTTTAAAACAATCAAACAATATGATTAAAACAATCAAAATATTTTCTTCCTAACTAAGTAATTTTAAAATTAAGAAAGTTGAACATTAAAAAAATGTGAAACCGATCAACTAATTTACATGCATTTACTTTGAAAAAAGGGACATATCGTTGAACATACGTAACTAGGCAATGATGCTTTTAAATAGTATATTTATATGTATATATACTTGTTAATAATTGTTTATCACCAAAAATGATATAATTCAAAATTACGGGGACCAATCAAACAACTAAAAGAATTAAAGAATGCCCTACAATCATTTCGTATATTTTGTAAGTTATCTACATACCTATATCTAAAAGAAAACTAGGAAGAAAATATAAAATTAAACAAATGTGAATTTAAACTAAACGATAATAATCTAATCGAAAATTATTTTTGAACAGAAGGTACATTTATTAGTTGACCAGAAGTAGAAAAAAGTGAGAGAGAGAATCGAAGACCTTAAAATATTAAGTAATNTTGTTGTCACCTCTCGTAGTTTAGTGGTCAGAACATTGGTGCGTAAAGCCAAAGGTCCCGGGTTCGATTCCCGACGGGGGTGTGACAACAGCAACAATTTTTCCCTCATTAATTTGAGGTAGCGTGTAGTGGGTAAAAAATTCAGAAATGAATTTTCAGAATAATATTTCATATTAAACTAACTCACTTCTAAAAGATATCTAAATTATATGTATGTTTAATCATAGTATATTCAGTATATAGTTACATTAGTTCGACGGATCGTTAACCTTGTAGGTCGGTTGGTCGTGGTTGTTGTTGTCACCTCTCGTAGTTTAGTGGTCAGAACATTGGTGCGTAAAGCCAAAGGTCCCGGGTTCGATTCCCGACGGGGGTGTGACAACAGCAACAATTTTTCCCTCATTAATTTGAGGTAGCGTGTAGTGGGTAAAAAATTCAGAAATGAATTTTCAGAATAATATTTCATATTAAACTAACTCACTTCTAAAAGATATCTAAATTATATGTATGTTTAATCATAGTATATTCAGTATATAGTTACATTAGTTCGACGGATCGTTAACCTTGTAGGTCGGTTGGTCGTGGTTGTTGTTGTCACCTCTCGTAGTTTAGTGGTCAGAACATTGGTGCGTAAAGCCAAAGGTCCCGGGTTCGATTCCCGACGGGGGTGTGACAACAGCAACAATTTTTCCCTCATTAATTTGAGGTAGCGTGTAGTGGGTAAAAAATTCAGAAATGAATTTTCAGAATAATATTTCATATTAAACTAACTCACTTCTAAAAGATATCTAAATTATATGTATGTTTAATCATAGTATATTCAGTATATAGTTACATTAGTTCGACGGATCGTTAACCTTGTAGGTCGGTTGGTCGTGGTTGTTGTTGTCACCTCTCGTAGTTTAGTGGTCAGAACATTGGTGCGTAAAGCCAAAGGTCCCGGGTTCGATTCCCGACGGGGGTGTGACAACAGCAACAATTTTTCCCTCATTAATTTGAGGTAGCGTGTAGTGGGTAAAAAATTCAGAAATGAATTTTCAGAATAATATTTCATATTAAACTAACTCACTTCTAAAAGATATCTAAATTATATGTATGTTTAATCATAGTATATTCAGTATATAGTTACATTAGTTCGACGGATCGTTAACCTTGTAGGTCGGTTGGTCGTGGTTGTTGTTGTCACCTCTCGTAGTTTAGTGGTCAGAACATTGGTGCGTAAAGCCAAAGGTCCCGGGTTCGATTCCCGACGGGGGTGTGACAACAGCAACAATTTTTCCCTCATTAATTTGAGGTAGCGTGTAGTGGGTAAAAAATTCAGAAATGAATTTTCAGAATAATATTTCATATTAAACTAACTCACTTCTAAAAGATATCTAAATTATATGTATGTTTAATCATAGTATATTCAGTATATAGTTACATTAGTTCGACGGATCGTTAACCTTGTAGGTCGGTTGGTCGTGGTTGTTGTTGTCACCTCTCGTAGTTTAGTGGTCAGAACATTGGTGCGTAAAGCCAAAGGTCCCGGGTTCGATTCCCGACGGGGGTGTGACAACAGCAACAATTTTTCCCTCATTAATTTGAGGTAGCGTGTAGTGGGTAAAAAATTCAGAAATGAATTTTCAGAATAATATTTCATATTAAACTAACTCACTTCTAAAAGATATCTAAATTATATGTATGTTTAATCATAGTATATTCAGTATATAGTTACATTAGTTCGACGGATCGTTAACCTTGTAGGTCGGTTGGTCGTGGTTGTTGTTGTCACCTCTCGTAGTTTAGTGGTCAGAACATTGGTGCGTAAAGCCAAAGGTCCCGGGTTCGATTCCCGACGGGGGTGTGACAACAGCAACAATTTTTCCCTCATTAATTTGAGGTAGCGTGTAGTGGGTAAAAAATTCAGAAATGAATTTTCAGAATAATATTTCATATTAAACTAACTCACTTCTAAAAGATATCTAAATTATATGTATGTTTAATCATAGTATATTCAGTATATAGTTACATTAGTTCGACGGATCGTTAACCTTGTAGGTCGGTTGGTCGTGGTTGTTGTTGTCACCTCTCGTAGTTTAGTGGTCAGAACATTGGTGCGTAAAGCCAAAGGTCCCGGGTTCGATTCCCGACGGGGGTGTGACAACAGCAACAATTTTTCCCTCATTAATTTGAGGTAGCGTGTAGTGGGTAAAAAATTCAGAAATGAATTTTCAGAATAATATTTCATATTAAACTAACTCACTTCTAAAAGATATCTAAATTATATGTATGTTTAATCATAGTATATTCAGTATATAGTTACATTAGTTCGACGGATCGTTAACCTTGTAGGTCGGTTGGTCGTGGTTGTTGTTGTCACCTCTCGTAGTTTAGTGGTCAGAACATTGGTGCGTAAAGCCAAAGGTCCCGGGTTCGATTCCCGACGGGGGTGTGACAACAGCAACAATTTTTCCCTCATTAATTTGAGGTAGCGTGTAGTGGGTAAAAAATTCAGAAATGAATTTTCAGAATAATATTTCATATTAAACTAACTCACTTCTAAAAGATATCTAAATTATATGTATGTTTAATCATAGTATATTCAGTATATAGTTACATTAGTTCGACGGATCGTTAACCTTGTAGGTCGGTTGGTCGTGGTTGTTGTTGTCACCTCTCGTAGTTTAGTGGTCAGAACATTGGTGCGTAAAGCCAAAGGTCCCGGGTTCGATTCCCGACGGGGGTGTGACAACAGCAACAATTTTTCCCTCATTAATTTGAGGTAGCGTGTAGTGGGTAAAAAATTCAGAAATGAATTTTCAGAATAATATTTCATATTAAACTAACTCACTTCTAAAAGATATCTAAATTATATGTATGTTTAATCATAGTATATTCAGTATATAGTTACATTAGTTCGACGGATCGTTAACCTTGTAGGTCGGTTGGTCGTGGTTGTTGTTGTCACCTCTCGTAGTTTAGTGGTCAGAACATTGGTGCGTAAAGCCAATTGTCCCGGGTTCGATTCCCGGCGGGGGTGTGACAACAGCAACAATTTTTCCCTCATTCATTTGAGGTAGTTTGTAACGATTTCACATTAATATTGCATATTAATTCATTATTAAGTAACTAACAATGCCATAGGATTTCATATATTTAACAAAAATTGGTGTTGATAAAGACAGTTAGGCTTTCACGGCCGGTATTATCTGAATAATGTTCGAAATTTGGGTTTGATAGTCGTGGTCTAGGTTTGTTTCGACGGTGTTTTCAAGCCTGAATACGAAACATTATTCACAAATTGCTGTATCTAATATCTATAGTAATAAGTAGGAACACATAATAATTATTATTTATTGTTTATGACTGTACATTTAATTAATTACAAAAACTAATGTACTCTTCCTTTCAAATCTTGTTGTATGAGCCAAATTTAATTGTTTTTAGAGCTGTCTCTTTATTTCACAAATATAATATAATTTACGAAGGAGACTGTTTATCGGATGTAAATATCTATTTATTACATGAGTATGAAGTGTTAAAAGAGCGCATATTATCTATTTCTCCAGTAGAAATAACGACAATCAAAATTAAAAAGAAACTTTTGATAAAGTATATTCGAAATGTAGATTTGTTTCTAAATGGAAATGTATAATTTATAAATGTAAGTCCAATATGAATTAAATAAATGGTTTTTATATATTTTTGTTCGTTTTAATAATTACAACGAGACAAAGATAACGGAGAGATAAAGAGTCAAAATGCCGTTGCATTTGCAAATTAATAACAAAATAACAACGAATAAAAAAACAATTCCCATAAAATTAATTCCGGCTTCACTTTTATCTGCTGCTTTTTTTATTGAATGAAATGTGTGTAACGTGTAATTTATGTAAATGCAGGGTTCTTTGATTTGTCCTCACACGCGTTTTTATCGGTCTTTAAATCAATATAAATATAATATAAACAGCATATTCTAGCCAAATACGAGGTGTATACTGAAATTTTACTGCAATTAACAGTAATAAATTGTGTGCGCAGTTATAGTAGGTTTAAACAAAAGTTTTTAACGTCTTTTTCATGTTAAAATGAAATCATAAGGGAATGGAATGATCCAACAAAATCAGGAAACAAGAAGCAAGGAAACTTGGATTGGGGAAGACGAACTCTAAATTCCCGAATGCTGAAGTATGATCGTCACACACTAGGGCAAAAGAAAACATTTGGTTGTTTCATTTGCACTAACTACTCATGCTTTCTTCCGACTCCTTTTAGGAATTGTGAAGGATGGGTGGTGGTTGGGTTAAGAAACATGAAACGGCCGAAATGAAAACAGAATGGAAGTGAAACATTACGTGTAAAATAATGCCGTCACTGCTCCAGCATTTGCCAAATTCAAGAAAACCAGGAAATAAGTAAACAAGAAGCAAGGAAATTTGAATCGGGACAGACGAACTCTGAATCGGATCGGTGTATGCCCTCCCAAATGCCTAGCTATAATCACTACAGACCAGAGCAAGAAAAATCATTTGGATGTTTCATTCCTACCAGCTACAAATGCTCCTTTCAGCCTCCTTTTAGGGATCGTGGGAATAACTGATGATGGTTGGGATGATAAAGTTGAGGCGACCGAAATGAAGATAGAAGAGAAGTGATAAATTGCGTGTAGACTAATGCCGTTACTGCCCCAGCATTTACTATAATGATCCAAGAAAACCAGGATGACTAAATACTGATGATCTCTTCTATCTCCTTTTAGGAATCGTGCGAATGGATGTGTGGTGGTTTGGGTAAGAAAGACGAGAGGACCAAAATGAAAATAGTAGGGAAGTGAGACATTACGTGTAGAATAATGCCGTTACTGCCCCAGCATTTACTAAAATGATCCAAGAAAACCAGGAAGCAAGGAAACTTGGATTGGGGCAGACGAACTTTGAATTGGACCGGTGCATGTTTCCCGAATGCCGAGATATAATCACCATATACCAGGGCAAAAAAGACGTTTGGATGTTACATTCCTACTAAAAACTGAAGATCTTTTCTATCTCCTTTTAGGAGTCGTGCGAATGGATGTGTGGTGGTTGAGGTTAGAAAGATGAGATGACCGAAATGAAAATAGAAGGGAAGTGAGATATTATCTGTAGAATAATTTGCCTAAATGATCCAAGGGAATGAGAAATAGGAAATCATGGATCAGGGTAGACGAACCCATAATTGAACCGGTGTTCTCTCGAATGCTAAGCAGAATGGTCTGAAATTCTGGGTCATGCCGCTTGGTACAGACCATGATCACAACTTTATTTGTACGTACGTTATAAACGGATAAAATAACAGATTAAAAGATGAAATATACTTGGTTGGGGAAGCTAATAAGCATGCGCAGTAGTGGAACCTTGTAGTTCTTCAGATCATTTAAAAAGTGTTATTATTTGTTATATCCATTATTGTTTTTCTTTTAAGAGTATGTTCCAGTGTTTCGCTTAATGTGATAATAAAACTGCTAAAGTGAAACCATTTTTTCTATTACAATTACTTGTTGTATAGCCCCTGTAACAAAATTTGTTGTAAAACATCCCAAAAAGGTTATCTACTGGTAGATAATTAAACTGAAACGAAAACTGCGTTTTCACTGTGTATTCAAATGAAACTAGTTTCAATAAAATAAAATAAATGACATTTTAATACACTTTGAGTGTAGATTATAATGTTTGCGATAGGTGGATATACTAAAACTAACTAACTAACAGTACTATCGTTTGTGTTATATGTGTTGACAATTATTTATATATAAATCAATAAGAAATCCGTTAAGTGAGCGCGTTCAAAAGAATATTGACCACAACATTGTTATTAAATAATATGAATATCGCTAACAGTCTCAAAAACATTTTTGCGTCTACAAATTTCAATAAATTAAAATTCGATCCGAGAAGGACTTTAATAAAACAGGCAAAGGTTGCGCTCAATGAGGGAAATTTAATTGTGGAATTCCATGACGAAACTGAAGCTTATCCGTCGGTTTGGCTGAGGGATAATTGTACCTGTCCAGAATGTTTCCATAACGATTCCCACTCAAGGGCTATTAACTGGGATAAGTTTGATGTTGGAGTGTCTCCCATTTCCGTTGATGTAAGTAGGTAGAACACGTTTCTAATGCTATTTAATTAAGCCAAATTGGTTAATTTAATTAAAATTATTCTCGAAGCATACCCGTTTTACATCTATATAATACCTACATAATTACAAATATTGTTAACAATAAGAGCCAAGACTGTCTTATTTCATTTGATTCAGCTTTCGCAGAGTTTTGGAGCAAATAATGAATGAGATCAGAAAAAAATTAAACGCCAGTTCTGTTAATTAAATTCGCTAGCTCTTTGGCATTTATATTTCCATTTGTTTGTTAACTTGTTAACTTAATTACGTACAATAATTAAAAAGTACCAGAAATTATGTTAACCAAATGTATAAAGAATGAATATTTTCTTTCGTATTTTAAATCGACTTCGAAATTTAGTTTTAGAAATTCTTTTATCTAATACAAAAATTGAAAAGAAAATTTATATATAATAAATTCAGGCAATAATTTCTGATGTTGAATAAGATCCTAATATAATTCAGCACCAAATCCTTCAGTCCTTTATTTCTACAAATTTCTAGTTTGATTTTCTTCGTTCGTTTTTATAGCCCTTTTCGAGGACCAAAGATCCTAAAATGATTACCTTTGAAAGAAGGGTACAAAAACGTTGTAAAAATATCCCACTTGTTAAGATTGTCGTTAGAATAGAACGAAGAAGGTCGTAGGTAAACAACGTAGTACGTATCGTCCTTAGACTTTAGCAAGTATTATTTTTGTATGGCGTTTGGGACTGATTTAGAAATCGGTATTAAAAAATAAAGAATCAGTAGGATATTAAGAAACGAAAAGGAAATAAAAAAATGTCTTAGCCACAAAAGCCTTTCCCTTAATTGAAACTTTGCATGTCTGATAACAAAATATTCTCTTTCACTTGGCTATTAAGTATTCTGTTTAGGTGAATAAAGATAAACTGGAAATCAAATGGAGTGATAATCATAGGTCGATTTTCACAGAAGACTGGCTACGTAATCGGAGCTTCGAGGGGAGTAAGCAGGCCAAGTACTTAGAGGAAAATTACAGACCGAAGAAAATTCTCTGGGATGGAACTGAATTCACAAAAATTTTAAAAACATACAGCTATCGCGAAGTAATGACAAAGTGAGTGGAAAATAGATCACATTTCACACAAAATGTAATAACAATACAATGGAAGGGAAGAAAAAGTAGGGAAAGAGCGAATATAAAGGTAGGAGACGAAAGATTAGAAGAAGTGGCTGATTTTTGGTATCTATAGGAAGTCAGATAAGTAAGGACGGAAGAAGTAATAGGGATATAAAGTAGACGATACCGCAGGGTCGAGTCGCCTTCAATAAAAAGAACTCACTTCTATGCTCGCGAACGGTTAATTTAGAAATTCGAAAAAGGTTGTTAAAGGTGTATGTTTGGAGCGCGGCGCTGTACGGGTGCGAAACGTGGAGAGTGGGCGCGACGGAAAAGAAAAGGTTAGAAGCGTTCGAAATGTGGTATTACTGGCGAATGATGAGGATACCGTGGATAGAGAAGGTTAGAAATGAAGAGGTATTAGAAAGAACAGGAGAACAGAGGACTTTATAGATGTTAATAAAAATAAGCGAGATAGGTTGACAGGACACCTTTTCAGGCATGGAGGTCTAGTCAGAGACAAATTAGTAGAAACAGGAGTTAGGAGGGGTAGAGGTAGACCTAGATTAGCTTAGTGTTCTAGTTTTAGGGAAATACGTAGGTTAGCTCAGGATAGGAAAGAGTGGAGGTGCGTGTCCAATCATCAGTCTTAGGACTGACGACCTTATGATGATGAGTTTGACTTTTTACAGACCACTTTTAATTTTTTTTAATTTGTAGGGATGAAATACTGTATTGTTTTCTCAAAGATCTAGCTATTTATGGTGTGGTACTTTTAAAGGATGCCCCGATGGATCCATCTGCTAATTCAAAGTTATCCCAAAAAATTGCCTTTGTAAGAGAAACACATTACGGGTAAGTACCTATTTAATAAAAATTATACTTTAAGAATTATTTCTTTGATTATATGCCGATAAGAATAATAAACAGCTGTTTAATAGATGTATAAATAATGTATTTTGTGTAATCTTAATAAACTATTGATTAGAAAATGTTTATATCCTGTTTCTGTTATAGCAGGTATTCAGTAGAATTTCAGTGTACAGTTCTCAGGTTAGGGTAGGTTGAATTAAATAATATAATGATAATTTTCTTCTACAGAAAGGAGTACGTTATAACATCCAAACCAGGGACCAATAATTACGCGTATTTGTCAAGTTTATTACAACAACACACTGATTTACCCTATTACGAATACAACCCTGGTGTGAGTATTAATGCCACTTTAAATTTTAAATATTTTTCTTTCTACTTTAAATGTCTAATTAACTTGACCCACACTTGATAAAGATTCATGTTATTTGTAATAAAAGTAACCAAACTGTTATTGTTTTTGTTTTTATTTAAACATTTCTTTTTTTCTAATAAAAAGAGCAAAGATATACTAAAAGTGACGGTTTGGTTGTTGAAAATGTAAGACATTTCCTAGTATAATATGAAAAGTTACTTTCAGGTCGTGTTTTTACATTACGTTGTTCAAACAGAATCTGAAGGTGGTCAAAATTTATTGACCGATGGCTTTTTTGTCGCAGAAAAAATGAGGAGAGAAATGAAAGAACATTTTGAGTTGTTGTCAACTGTACACGTCAACTGGTCGGACTATGGGACAGAGGATTTTGTCAAGTTCTGTAATATTTTTAGAACTCCCGTTATAAGGTAAACACTTAACGTACTTTTCTTCTGTGTCTTATATTTTGCAAATAATATACTTTTTTGATAATAGTTTAGATTCGTTTTCGGAAATAGCATCCGTGAGGTATTCCATTCCTCAAAGGGACTCTTTCTTTAGTGTCCCATTGGAAAAAGTCACCTCTTGGTATCATGCCCTTAAAGAGTTCACAAAACTTTTAGATAAACATTGTGCGAAATTTAAAGTGGAATCAGGTAAAATCATTTAGGACTTATTCGTTTGAATTTTACATTTGTTGTCTTTGTTAATTGTTTTAGGGAATATTCTGGTGTTTGATAATACAAGATTGACCCATGGAAGAGTGCAATACAACGATACAAAAGGTAATCAAAGGTATTTGGTTGGCAATTACATGGACTGGGACGAAATTTACTCAAAAATGAGAATTTTAAAGAATGAAATGCAGGAAAAACAACAGACATAACCATCTACTGGTTTCAATTTGGGTCAAAAGTTCAAATATTCCATTATTTTATTTCCAGTTTTAATAAAGCACTTTGTATTATCTTTCTTTCTTTTTATATAATTTACCATTATTCCTTCTTTCAAAAAGGAACTGCTTCGACCTTTAAGTCACCTTACAGAGAACTTTCACTGTAGGTACCTTTATAAAATGGTATCGTACCTTTAACTACTAAATACATAATAAACCTATTATTGTAATGCATGTATGTTCATGTGTAGCTCAAAAGAGTAAGTAAGTAATAGAGTTATACTATGAATTATATTGACTAATTAAGCCACTAAAACCCAAAATTCCATATCAAAACGTTTAAGTAACCCAANCTGCAAAGGAATCCATTCAAATAACGATTGCCCAGTTTAAATTGCCGCGTTATCACGAAACAGGAAATGGTCTAACTTTACTGAACACTGCGCAGGATCCTTTTACTTACGGCACCGGCGACTACAATAAATCTTATGTGCTCATACCGTGCTTGTGACAATAAAATGGTGGCCTTTTAATAGTTTTTGGTCATATTTTTAATTCTCATTAATGATATATTTAATTAAACACTTTATATTACGAAAATACTAAGTCGCGTGTGTTGTGAGCCGTTTTTACCTTATTGAAATGGAAAAATCGTGTGAGAAGAGCTTTTCAAATAGATGCGTCTCCTCATAGCATTACGAAAAGGTACGTTAAAAACAAGTCTATGAAGCTTAATTTAAGGTAGAATATTTGGTATATTTGATAAATTCCTATTTATTTCAATTATAAGGATATTAAAATCAAATAAAATAAGATACCAGTTTCTTCAGGTTATGCAACCCCAAAGGAGCTAGTGTTGAACAGGTTGCATATGTGCAGTTTTATTAGGAGATTGTATTTTAAATTTAAATGGTAATTAATCGATTTTTGGTTTATATTTTAAAAGTGAAAAATAAATTAAACGTTTGATAAAGTTTATTTAACAAATAACAAGTACTTATTACAAAAATAATATATGAATAAGAAACAAAAATATCTTATATTTTACAGAATCTTATATTCGTTTTATTGTTCAAAACTTAAAAACTTGTATACATTTAAAAAACAAAGAGTTGGTACATTATTAATAACTGTTATTTTACGATTAAAAGGAACAAATAATTTTAATGTCCCATTTATAAATATATTTAAATTCTTTTGAATATTAAAACCTAATAATACTAAACAAGTTGTGTTATCATAACATAAATTATTATCATCATCACAATTGTCACTTAAAATAATACCTTTAACTACAGTTATTTCATATTCCTTCCAAAAACATTGCACCTTAACAACAGTTGAGGGTTCTTCTAAAGGAAAATTATCACTACCTTTAATTATTTTTAAAAATTGTTCATGTTGCCAAATTGCAAAGTTATACTTTTGTTTATAAAGTGCATCTTGAAGTTTCTCAGCCCAGCCATTCTTTTTTACTTTCTTCCTTTTCTTTGGTTTAAAATAAGGTGAACTTACATTGGAAGATGATTTTAATGATTCATTATTTAGACTTTGATTATCATTTTCACTTTTTGATGAAATTGAAGAAATAGCATACACTGATTTCTTACTTTCACTCAGTTGACTTGACTCTATACATTCAGGCTCAGATAATAAGTTCTTAACTACAGACTCTCCGATATTGAGAACAGAACTTTGAGAATTGGTTGGGGATGAGCATTCTGTTATAATTGCAGATGCTTGGGTTTGAAC